TGCTCTCAGTGCCCAAACACAGGGCTCAGTTTTAGTTTGGAATGCTGCCATGTCAGTGGAATAAGTAAGTAACCTTCCCCCCTGCTGCTTCCTAATTTTGTCACCTGGTGTCCTTGCAGAGTTTGCCAGTCCCAGCACAAGAGGGTGGCACCAGCACAGCCGAGCAAGTCGGAGTCAGGGAGCACCAGGGATGGCCACAGCTCCTCAGACTCTGCACTTCCAAGAGCACCAGCACCTGAGGTGAATGCAAATCAAATGCAGAGGCTGCTCTTGCAGCCCCTTGCCTCACACTCTCTGCTGTCTGAGGGCAGTCAGGACAGGAGACCTTAAATACTGTCACTGTTCAAGTGTCCCCTTGAGACCTCTGCAGCAGCATCAGACATTTCTTGCCCTCTTCTTCCTTTCTAGATTTTGTCATTAATAAACCCTTCCTGGACTTCTGGTGCCAAACTTGGCAGTGTTCCCACTTGTCCTTTGACATCATTGTCTAGCCCTTCTGGAGTTTTCACTCCAGGATTCATCCATTTTGAAGCTGAGGGATGAAACTTTCAGTGAATATGTTGAATGATCCTCCTCTGCAGTAGGGATCTCTGGACTGTGGCTCCTGAGTGACTGGTTTCTTTTCATGGGTGTTTTGGACAATGGCTCTGTAAGTGAAAAACCCCCTTTTTCATTTTCTCCTCATTTCAGTTCTGTTGATGTCATGTAGTCTTCCTTCTACTTGCTCTGAAAGATGAACCTGTCTTTGGTAATACAGTCCTGCAGTGCTGAAGCCTGGAGAGGGAGGAGGAGGAAGAAACAGTGAGGCTGCAGCCCTGGATCTATAGCCTGTCTGCTGGATGTTCAGCATGGGAGAGGTCCTTGGGCCACAGGGCTGGGCTCCTTGGCTCTTAGGAAATATCCAGTGATATAATATCCAGGAAATATCCATCCTGTGCTGCATGGAGGAGAAAGACTCAGCCAGAGAAAGGATCTTGGGAAGGCTGACCAAGGGGGGGGCCTTTGGCTGAAAGCTCACTCCTCCCTCCTGTTTTGGGTGAAACAAGAGCTGTGGGGAGACCCCTGCCCTGTAGGGACCCTGACAGTGAAGAGGTCTAGAGCAGAAGAAACTCTGCTGTTCTTCCCTCCTCCTGCTTTGAATTCCATTTGAATTAAAGTGTTTGGCCTCAGTTATACTAAACAGCCACACACCAATTAGGATTCTTCCTGGGACCTCCTTGGACATCCCTTAGGACAGCCATTTCTTCCAGGCCAGGAGTTTGGCTCATTCAGTGTCTAAGGCACATGTCACCTGCAGCTGGGAATTCCTTGTTGATGGCTCCTTTCCCTGGCAGCACTGAGCACTTGAGGCTTCCAGCTGGAACAGGCAAGCAGAATCCAGCGCAAAGTGAATTAATCCACAGGGGATAACTGTGCAGGGACCCATTTTGCCTTCACAGAGACACTGAACAGCTCTTTCCCCTTTCCCAAAGCAGAACCTTTGCTCTCCTATATCACCCTGGTCTCTTTAATGCATCTTTCCAAATGAGCTGTGAGAAGCCTTAAAAATAGTACATCAATGAAGCTTAGATGTATCTCTCATCCTCCTCTGCCAGGTTTTACCTCTTCTCCGAGGACCTGAACAAAGCTGTTTGTAAAGCCAGCCTCCTTGTTCATGTCTTTGGGAGCCCCTCAGCCCAGCAAGGGCCTTGTATTGCCTGCCCTGACAGTCAGGGATGTGTGAGAGGCTTCATGGCAGGGCCAAGAATTAGGAAGTGTCAGTGTGCAGAAAAGAACAGGAATGTGACAGGAATGTGGCATCTTCCTTGGAGTGTGTTTAAAAAGAAGAGTAAAAAAATCCCAACCAAATGAAAAAAAAAAAAAAAAAAGGGCAAGTCAAGCTGTGTTCCTCTGCAGTTTACAAAGTCTGGAGCCAAGAAGAAGAATTTGAGGACAACTCAAGATCACTGCTATTCTCAGGTAGAAGGAAGAGGTCTTCCTTGAAGTTGGCTGAAAACAGATGAAGAGTCTGCTCTATCTTGCATGAGCTCCATGTGTGGGTGCTTTTCTTGTGCCAGAAATGCTCACCAGAATCAAAGCAACCTTGCAGAGCTGGTCCATTACCTGGGCTTAGTTTGAAGTTTGTGATCTCTGCTTTAGTCCTTCAGAAAAGCTCCTGTGCTTGAAAGCCTGAACCTTTTCCTGTGTTCAAGTACTGTGTGTAATAAGTAGTAGGATGTCTTTCCAGGAGCTCAAGTGATGATGGTCAAATGCTTTCCCAAGCAAAAGCTCAGTCTTGGCAGGAGGACCCAGCCTTGGAGCCAGCCCGAATTACCTGAGTAGGAACTGGAAGCCAAGTACCAACTGCACCTTGCAAGGGTTGCATTTAAATCAAGGTTGTTTGGTTTTGTTGGGGTTTTTTTCTCACTTCAGAAAAATGAGTCTGATCTTATTTGGGTGAATGACAAGTATTACTCCTTCTCTAGAACTGAACTGGGAATTTCTCTAGAATTGGAAACTATTATTTCTAACTGTTTTTTCTTAACTAATGAAACTTTTTGCTCAACTCCTTCACATGCAGAGGCTGCCTATGCCTTTGCAGGCAAAGCTTTGCTGCTGCAATAGCAACTAAAGGAAGTGATATTCAATAAAGGGAGGAGACTGCAGAAACATACTTTCTTAATAAGACGAATAAAAAGTCATCAAAGGAAACAGTGTTTCCTGACTGCCAGGGAAGCCAGACATTGATCTTGCAGGAGGTGACTGGTGGTTTCAGCTCTTGCTCTGCTTGGTGTCTGTTCCTTACTGCCCTTCAGATGAAACTGTTATTCCTTACTAGCATTCCATTATGAATGGACTTGCGTGACATTTTTAGAGCTGCTGTTCAGGAGTTCATGTTTACTGAGTGCATGTTGTTTGCTATCAATGAGTAAAATACCCAAACAAACTCACAGTGCTTCCCTCTTTCTTGTTTCAGCCCATTGGGCACAATCATGTGCAGTCCATTGAAGAAATATTGAAGGTGAGTACTCTTCAATACCAGATCTCCATGAGAAAGCCTGTGCAAATCCATGGGGAAGTGGATCCCTCTGACTCTGGGAAAGGTGAAACTCTCTCTGTGTCCATCAGGAAAACTCCTGAGAGCTGCTTCTCTCCCTCTATTTCCAGGAAATGAGCCCCCTGTCACCTCTCCTGCCATGCCTTCAGTCATCTGTGAGAACAGAGACTTACAAATTTCCGTTGCAGGCAAAGGTAACCCGGGTCTCCTCGAGCCAGGTCTAATGAGCTCTTGGAGATTTGTATCACACCCAAGATAGCTCAGCTACCTTAGAAGGCATAAAATCAGCAGGATGGCTTCTGTGGTAGTGTTGGAAACAGAAAAGTTTTAATAAAAGGCAAAATAACAAAACTCTTTACAAAGAAAACTGAGCCAGGTGCAAGAGGTTCTTGCCCCAGGTAAAACACCGCACAAAACCGGTTAGTTTCTTTGTTCTCTTCTTTTTCTAGTAAATTGCTTAGGCTGGACTTTTTGGCTTCTGTCCAATTGGCTATCCCTAAGTTTGAGATGAAATCTCTCAAGTACTATCAGGTCTAATATTTTTACCTAATCGAGAAGAGAAACTTCTAGGCTTTTTTCTTAAGGAGACAAAGCATAGTTTTGTCACTCCATCAACAAGGAGCACATTCCTATACTAACTTTTTTCAGGGCTTCCGATAAATTACAAGAGATCTTTCTGCTGAGCAGAAGTTCAGTGTTGGCAGAAGGAGCCTGCCTGGAGACCTGCCTGAGTTCCCTGGCCATAAACAGTGATGGGAGTTCGAAACCCAGCAGAAACTGCACCTTGTGTGGGGTTGCATTATACCCAGGTGTTTTTGTTGGGTTTGTTTGTTTTTTTTTTTTTCACTTCAGTACAAGAAAGAGTCTGATTTTATTTGTCTAAATGACAAAAATTCTTGTGAACTGTCTTAGAAGAATTGGGAACTATTATTTCTAACTGTTTTGGGTTTTTTTTGAACTACTGAGGCTTTATGCACAACTCTTACATGCAGAGGCAGCCTGTGTCTTTGCAAGCAAGGCTCAACTGCTTCAACAGCAACTTGAGGAAAGTGCAGTTTCATAAAGGGAGCAGACCATGAAAACATACCTTATTTAAAAAAATAGTGATAATAAGTATATGATGATGATGATGATAATAATAATAATTATAAAATAGTGATAAATAAATAAATAAATATAGTAATAGTAATAAAGAGAAGTAGAAGTAGGAGCAGTAGTTTAGAAATGGAAACAGTGCTCCCTGACCACCAGATTCCAAAGGGAAGACAGACATCTGAGAGGAGGAGGAGGATTTGACATTGCTGGGTTCAGCTCTCTCCATACCTGGTCTCCATTATTAACTCTCCTTTAGATGAGCCTTTTTCATTCTTACTCTCTTTTTATTGTTAATACATCTGCAATACATTTATGGAGCTGTTGGTAAGCAAAGGTTTGCTGAGTTCCTGCCAATTAGTAAAAAACGCAAACAAACTCCTTCTGTTTCCCTCGTTCTTGTTTCAGGCAAAGAAGCCCTCTGATGTGCCATTGACTGGAGAAATATTGAGGGTGAGTGGTCTTAAATAGAAGATCTCTGTGTATGCTTATGTTTTGCATACATTAAGGAAATAAGTGGGGACAAAATATTGACAAAATTTTGAGAGCTGCTTCTCTCCCTCTCTTTCCAGGAAATGAGCAGTTCAATGCCAGCTCTCCTGTCACATCTCCAGACGCCTACAAAAGCAGAGACTTCCAAACTTCCATTGGCAACAAAGGTGACCCAGCCCATTTGTGCCAGGGCTTCTGATAAATTCCAAGAGATCTTTCTGCTTAGCAGAAATCCAGCTCAGCTATTTGGCAGCTCTTAGAGTGTTTTAAAAATATTTACTCAAAAATGCACATGCCTATAACATGCCATTAACACAGTTTTGATGTCAGCAGATGTGCTGTTTAACTTCATGCTAAGCTACTTTGTCCTTTTATTCTAGAAATCCCAACCTGATGGATCTGCAGCACAGAAGCTGAGTAAGTAGAAATGCAAAGAAAACACAATTCTTTGTGTGCTGACAGGTAATTTTGTGGGTTATATGTAGCAGAGACCATCAAGTGTTCACACTGATTAAGCAGCATGATTTCCTCTGCTGAACAGGGATGAATTTAGGAATGGCTTAAGAAACTGTAACCAATCATTACCTAGACCTCAAGGTAGCACTTCAGCAGAGGACAAGCAGTATAGTATTTCGTCAGGAAACTCCCATCTGGAGTGATGAACAATCACGGTGGCAGACCCCTCCCTAGAAGAAAGTGACTCTCTAATCTGGTGCTGAGAGACCACAGGGTAAAATACGCTACAAGGGAGGCATATAAATGCAACCTTTTTATTTTTGCTTTCCAGAGCAGGCTAGCACAGCTTCAGAAACATTGCCAAGTTCTCAGCCAAGAACATTGTAAGTAACCAGACTCTGTTCTCACCTCTGCTGGGCAGTTACTTAAAAGAACTTGGAATGCACAAAAAATTGGGTTATAAGTAATTTTTTCTCAGAAAAAACTTCATTGCAAGGAATTTTCACCAACAGAAAAATTGTTGTTTTATGATGGACTCGCTATATTGTTTGAAAAGGTTTGAAAAGGACTTGAAGATCATCAAGTCCTATTGTTAATCCAGCAATGCCAAGTGCACTAAACCATGTCATGACTACAATGACTGTGATTAAAACCAAAACAAAATAAAAGTGAAGAAAAAAACCTTAAGTCTTCATGTACCAGACTGAAGGTTTTGTCTTCTTTTAATCTGTGGTGCTTAACATCTTGTCACACTTCGTACTTGTCAACCTACTGATAATGCATTAGGCTGACATAAATGCTGAGGGATGCCAGCTGAATCTGATAATTTCTGGATATGGTTTTGATGCCTGGCAGGACAAGTAATGCTACCTAAACTGTATAGATCTACTGATGACATTTCAAAGTTATTTTGTTGTAAAACTTTCTTCAATTGCCCAAGTAGAAGTTTTCAAAAAAGTGTTGTAGTTATTTTATTTAAAAAGAAACACAAAGAAATATAGTATTTTACATGGACTTTTAAGAACCTTACTTTATATGCTAATAATATAGCTTGTTGCAGAGTGGGATGAAGACAAAATTTCTATACCTATGGGAATTGTGTATGTTTGTCTGAATGGGTGTGAGTTGGAGGTTTGATATTTTCCAAGCATTTTTTTATTCTGGTGCTTTGTATTTTGAGTATGGCAATGTCTTCCTCTGGCCTTCCCCCCTCTGCTCTCAGTGCCCAAACACAGGGCTCAGTTTTAGTTTGGAATGCTGCCATGTCAGTGGAATAAGTAAGTAACCTTCCCCCCTGCTGCTTCCTAATTTTGTCACCTGCTGTCCTTGCAGAGTTTGCCAGTCCCAGCACAAGACGGTGGCACCAGCAGAGCCCAGCAACTTGGAGTCAGGGAGCACCAGGGACGGCGACAGCTCCTCAGTCTATGACATAGACATCAGCTCCAGTGACAGTGAGGACAGCCTTCCAAGGGTGCTGGACCTGCCAGTACGTGAGATGAATACAGAGACCATGGAGAGGCTGCTCCCATAGTCCCTTTCCCACTGCAGTGTGGTGTCTTAGGAAGGAAGCAGATGTTGTACTCTGTTACCAAATTCTGCCTGGTTTGTTCTGGAAATACTGATTTGTAAGACCCCTCTCACTGCAATGAATGCTTAGGTATTTGCCACTGACTGGTTTATGATTTTTTATTCCTCACATATCCATCCATGGTGCTCAAGGAGCAAGTAAGTGCCCATGGCCTGTTAGTTCAGAGTCATTTTTTCACAGGCCAAAGGCCAAACTTTACAACCTCTGGGCAAGAGTCCTGGGCTCTGGTGAGCTGTGCTAAGACAGAAAGAGTCAAAAAAGGCACCAGTCTTGAATACTTCTTTTCTTTTTTTGGCAGCCTTCAACTGCTAAAAAGTGGTGCCTTGACAGCCTGATGACCCAGACAAAGCAAGGATCAGTGCCAAGAGAGGGTCTCAGGGAAATTGCCCATGGGAATGGACATGAGGAGAGTGTGAAGCAGGAGCAGGGCATCAGCAGCAGTTCCTGCCAGCAGCACTCCAAGGCAAGGGAACCTCCTCACAAGAGCTGTGGCCAAGTGGCCACGGATTTCTACAAGACCTTTGCCCAAGTGGCCAAGGACACTCACAAGATCTCTGGCCAAATGACCAAGCATTTTCACAAGACCTCTGGCCAAGTGACTAAGGCTCTTCAGGAATCTCATGTTACGAGCACACAGAGCTCTCTGAAGCCTCTTGGGCACACCAAGGAGGCATTGTGGGCATCAAAGGTTGTGGGTATCAAAAGGCCCAGCAAGCCCCTGGTGGATGAAAAATCCAGAAAAGTCCTGAAGCTGGAGAGAGAGCCTGGTCCTTTGGAGGTCAGACACCACTCCTCCAAAGACAAGCTGAAAGTCCAAGAAAGAGAGAACACAAAACCCGCTTTCAGAAATGACCTGAAGCGGGGAGTGCAAAAACACTTTGAGAAGAGGAATCACAAGGACCCTGACAAGAGCTGTGCCCAAGTGCCCAAGGCTCCTGACCGGAGTTGTAGCCAAGTGGCCAAGGCTCCTCGTGAATCTGATGTTACGTCCAAACGCAGCTTTCTGAAGCCTCCTGTGCACACCAAGGAGGCCTTGCTCAAGAATACTCTGGGTATCAAAAGGCCCAGTATGTCCTGGGTACATGATGAATCTAAGAGAGTCTGGAAGGCAGGGAGGGAGCCTGGTCTTTTGCAGGTCACAGACCAGTCTCGCAAGGACCAGCCCAACGTCAAGGAAACAATGAAGCCAAAAGCCACCAACAAAAAAGACCTGAAGCCGACACTTCAGAAGCCCTCTGAGAAGAAGGTCTCCCACCAAGCCAACGCCAAAGGCTTTTTGGAGCCCAGGCTCCTGAGACATGCTCAGGAATGTGATGCCCCCATGCCCAGTGGCCACAGGCCTAAGGATTTGTGCATGGAGAAAGTGCCCTTGCCTCCTGGGGACAAGAAATTGTTCTTGCCTGCAAGGGAGGCAGACTTGAAGAGGAAAGCCATGAGGAGTCCTGAGGAGTCCCCTAGAAAGAAGAAGGTGAGAGGGGCTGGGGGAAGTGGGTTTGGACAATGACCAAAGTGGTGTTTGAAAAACCCATGTGGAGTTCCCGATTCATAGGTTGGCAGTAGAGTCATGATGCTTCTCCAGTGTGTTATTTTTAATGTTTTCAACCAGAATCTATCAAACTGAGCTGTATTGGTCTGTACTTTACGTGAACTTTCAAGACCTGAGTGGATTTTTCTCCCTGTTTTTATTCTTCCTGCTAGAGGGAAGACAAGGGGGACACTCCCAGGAAGAAAAAGGAATGAGACAAAAAATTCCCAACAAAATAATTTCAGCTTTCAGCAAACAAAGGCTCCAATAAACTGAAGTGAGTATGCAGTGATGGGATGTCAGAAAGATGTGTAAATCTAAGTCTCTCTTCAGAAGGGTAGGATGAAGAACTGTATCTCCTGTCCAGACACTCAAGAGTTTGCTTCTTACACAGTGTGCCTTCTGCAGCTACAACTGCTGCAGATTGACCTTTACGTGCTGGAAGCTATTGTTGGTTGGGGGTTTATGTATAAATTATGAATGGGATGGGATTGTTGTGGAACATGTCTTAAGTTGTTTATTTTTTAGCATTAGTCTTATTACATGGCTGTGACAATGAGAAGATGTTAGTAGTTTACATTTTTGGTAGCAAAGAACTTAATGTTACAACTTGCTTTAAAAGTTTTTTGACCAATCACACAAAGCAAAAGCATATTGACAGTAGTTTTATCTAACTACTATAAGTATTTTTTGTCAAAACAATGTTTGCTTATTTTGAATGCAATACCTGTTTGTAAGCTTTAAAACACAAGGCACAGAACCCTATTATTAAGCTTAGGACTTCTTAATATCTTGCTAGATATACTTTTCTGTAGCTCAGGGAGTTATTCTAGAGAAGTGTTAATATACAGACTATTGTTTTATTTTTCCTTATTTTTCTACTTCTAATATAATGTTTCTGTTGATAAATCTTACGGCCATTGCTTAGCTCTAATTGTAGTTTTGTTGTCTCTGAGGTTTGCTTTTTGTAACTTTCCTAAAACTCTCTGATTTTAAGAATTTCTGCAGAAGCTACCAGTGCAGAAAGCAGCTCTGAAGGTGTGGGTGGGTAAGGGTAGGGACCCTTCCCTTTCTGACATTTCTCTGAAAGCACAGAGGTGTCGAGGCTGATGATTGGCTGTGGGAAGGGATGTTCCAATTGCATTAGGAATGGAAGAGCTTTAGTTCTGTAATTCCTCCCTTTTCCTCAGGGGAAGCGAGCAGCTGTCTTAGTCATGTGCTGGCTTTTGGAGTGGGAAGGGAAGGAAGTAGTTTTGGGCAGAGAGGACTCTGGATCATATCAGGGATGGTGCTGTGCTCTGTGTCAAATTGTCCTGGTGCAGCATCAGCTGAGCCAAGGCAGAGCAGCTGGAGAGTATGTGTGCAGTGAGTAGGGACCAAAGCATGGGAAAAGTGAGTGCTGAAAGAGGTGAGAGGACTGTCCCACTCACAGCAGAGTCAGGCAAGAAGTGCAGCCTTACACCTGAGCCTTCTCACTGGGTTTAGCTTAATTTCCTGCTCTTCTGGTGCTGCAGTGAGCTGGGATTCACTGCTTGGTGTGTTCTTGGAAACTTTGAGAAGTGGAAAGTTTGCAAAACGGTGGAAATGAGCAGTGGTGAAACAAAGTTGAGAGCTATTTGGTGCTGCTTCTTGTTGCCAGAATTCCATGGACATCCTGATTTCAGATGATCAGAGATGTGCTAGGCCACTCTGTTATTGAATGTGAAAGTCTCTGCCAATTCAAACTCCCTCTTATTTGAAGCCTCTCAGCTTTGAAAATGTTGCCTTGTTGAGACAATGGCATGAATGGCAGGATGTGGCCAAGCTTTTAAGAAATGCCTACATTATATGTACATCATAGTCATGAATTTGCCTCTCTTGTCCAGAGAATCAGAAGATTCATTCCAAACTGAGAGGAAAAATGCGCTGCTGCCGCCACTGCTGGCCATGACTGATGCATAACGTGCACCAAGTTTGACCCGAATGAGACAATGACCCAAAAGAGACCCAGAACTGAGACTGACGACCCGGACCTGCCTGACATGGATAACCCTGCCAGAAACCAGGATCCTTTGTTTGCCGGCACAGGAAAGTGGAGGAAGACCACAAGGAGAAATCCCAGGGCATCGACATTGGTATCCAGGAGAGCTGGTGGGAGTATTCCTGCAACCCACGCATGCTGAGTGATTCACTTCAGAATCATCCGCTCAGGTAAGTGACCATTTCTGACTGTAAGCAACTGCAAATAAAATTAGTGTATTTATAAAAAGGAGTGTGTTTATAAAAAGAAATTGTGGTTTACTTAAAATAACCTGTGGGTGTGACCACAACCTGAGCCTAAAGTTTTATATCATTCGGAAAAAATTGTTGCATTTATGGGTTAAAAAATTAGATTTTACTGGCTCTTTATACAAATTTGGCTGTTTACTGACAGCTCAGGGTATAGGGTCTAGGATGTTTGGGCAGGGGGGGCAAGGGCTGTGTGTTAGGCCACACACTATTATGTGTGTTAGGCCAGACTGTGCACAGTGTATTAGCTGCCTTCTAACTACTTGCTTTTTCCCAATAATTTTCCTGCTTCCAGGCTTCACTGCACTCCCAGCCACTGAGAAAGGAAATCTGCTGTTGAATTTCTCTGTGCTTGGGAAAAGTTTATTGGTACAAAGCACTCTGAGCTGCCAGGTGAGAAGCCAAGGCTCCATTTCAATTATTGGAGGGATTGCTGGGAAAGAAGGCAAGAGGGGGAGAGCCTGGTGCATAGACTACGCCAGGGAGAAATGAACATTTTCCCTGGAAATTTAGGAAAACCTGGCTTTGGAATTGCTTTAGGCAACTCTCTCTGATCAGCTTTCTCTCTGTGGTTTTTCAGGGATTGGCAGGGGATGAGAAGAATCCTCTTCCAGTGTTTTCTCTGCCACATGAAGACAAGACAAGAAGACCTGAAGTTAGAACAGTAAGTGTTTGTTTTACAGCCCTGCCTGTAGTTTCTGAAGACACCAGACAGGGCTGGCCCTGCAGCCACCCTGACTTCTGCTTCCTGATGAGCACTTCTTTTGGGAGCAAAGAGAGAGGGAGGGATGGGGGAGAGCTGCCCTGTCAGGGAAGCACTTGCTAAGTCGCTTGGCTACAACTAAACAGCACTTGAATTTTTGACTCCTTGCTGGGTCTTTAATCAGTACTGGCCAACAGAAATTCCTAGAGCTGCTGATACTTTAGTCATTACAAGTGTTGCATTGTCCTGTGGTGCAAGCAGTGGGGAATACTGAAAAGCTGTAACCTGTCATTTTCCATAAAACACCAAGTTTTGTGGGCTTCTCTGGGCAAAGGGATGCATTGCCATGATCTGCTGGTAAACTTGCAAAAGAAAATAAACATGATGTGCCTGGCTGAGTGGCTGGAAGGCTGTAAAAATCCTCTCCAGAAAGAGGCAGCTGCTGAAAGTCAAAAAGTTTTGCAGGTCCTCTTGGAGTAAAGTCACTCCAGTCATTGATTGTGTTCTGCCACTTGTGCTTGTTGGATTAATTCAACCAAATATTTTCTCTTTCCCTCCTTTTGTTCCAGAGTTTTCTGCCGAACAAAGCCAAGTGACATGACCAAGAGCTGGCCTGACCTCATACACAGAACGAGACAGAATTTACAGTGACCTTGACTGAGTCAATCAAGTACCTTGATTGAGTCTCCTGGATGTGAATAGTTCCAAGTTTTCTGTTCCATTGGAACCTTACAGAGTTTTGTTTTGGTTTTATTGTTCAATGCAAAGCACCTGCTTTTTTTCGTTTGTTTGTTTTGTTTTAAATAAAGTTTTAAGTTCTTTTAGTTACTTTTGGAAAGCTTGTGGTTTTTGAAGGTAATGCTTTTCTACCTTGCAAAAGAAGGGATGGGGGGTGATACTTGCCTATAAAATGACCTAGTGCAATGAATTGTCGGAATGGGCCCATGTCATGATGGTCTATAAATGTCTCTGTTATGAATAACTAACAGGACAATTGTCACACCGATTGCTGCCAATCTGCACTCAGACTGTGTTACTAAGGGTCTTGCTCAGTTTCAGCCTTGTCAGACCCAAGTTTGGGTGGCAAAATGACACCCGGAGTGTGGCTGGAAACAGCTCTGTCTGTCTCCTGTGCTGGAGGGATAGGACTGATGGGGAGGATTCCTCCTTGGGCTGCTTTTTGGCATTTGGGTTGGTGGAGATACAAAACTGCAACGGGTCCTTGGGATTGCTTGGACATTGTTGTGAGTCTGAGAGGTTCCAGGGAAAGGAATCTCTTCTGACAAAGGAGGGAATAAGCAGCTGAATGTGGAACATAAGGCAAATTTTGTATTTGGATATTTGCCTGCCAAGCACCGGTGGTCTCAGTGAGTGCCCAAGAGCAGAATTTGGTACCAAAGTAGGGTGTGCTTCCTGTGGGAGAGGACTCAGGCTCCCTCTCTGCCACACCCTAGGATAGGCCCAGTGACTTAGAAACCTGTCAAGGGAACCCAAAAGGGAAAATGAGCTGTTTGCAAGCACTTCTCCCTTGCCACGCTAACAGTGGAGGCAGCATCTACAGCACCAGTGTGTTCAGTTCACACACTTCTCTACCCAAAGATTTCCTGGGAATTATTCTTGCAGTATGGCTCAAGGAGTTATTTTTTCAGAGAAATCACACTTCTGTGAAAAAAAAGAGAAAAGCCTAAAACCCTTCAAGTTTTTCAGTCACCTTTCAGTTGACTTTGATGGGTTTTGGATCAATGTTATTTATACATGATATTTAGAATCAAGTTCAAAAACTGTTAAACAAGAAATTTTACTTGCACAAGTAGTTTCATTGTGCCTCAAACACAGATGAGGACGTTCCTTTTTACAGTCATATTCCCCCATCTACCCGCTCAAGTCACTGTATTGCAATATGAAAGCAAATTATTGGTAATGGTCATAAGACAGTCAATAAAACACAGATGCTTGATATCAGTGAGAGATTCTGGAATCTTGATTTATCACCATGCTAGTCCAGTGTGTTGACACCCTTGTCTACACAAAGATTTCCTGGTGTGTGACAGCAGCATCCTGCCATCCTCACATCCAATGGTGTGTCTGCCTTAGCCCTCTGCTGCTGTCACATGCCTTCCCTATCTCTGACAGACCCATGCGAATGTGGAGAGAAGGATGGTATCCCAAAATAACTGTGATTACAAGAAAGAATCATCTCCCTTTTCCACATTATTTTATGATGTAGGAACAGGTCTGCACAGATTTAGCAGTACCCCCTTTGTAAAATGCCTGTTTGTGGGTTTGAGGCTCAAGAAAATGAACAATAAATACCAGCAAAATGCCTACATTTCCAAATGGGGTTTCTGCAGAAAGTGCTCCTGCCTGGAGTCATTCTGCCTTCTGGCCCTGCAGGACCACCAGGATTAAGGCTGGGTCTTTCTGCATCTTCAAGGGATTGGCCTTTTATGTTCACTCTATTAAAATTCTGAGTGCATTTCAGGGATAAGTTGCTCTAATGGGTGGAAGGAAGGTCCATATTCCCCCTCCCCATTTTACCTATCAAACCTTATTTATTCCTCGTCCCTGGAGTTGTCCCTGCCCATAGCAGGAGGGTTGGAACTAAACCATCTTTAATGTCCCTTTTAACCCATGCCATTCTATGATTCTATGAAATAACAGAAAATTTTAAAAAATCCATTGTATTTCAACCTTGAGCCAGGTCAGGGGCCTGCAATAGGTTAGGAAAGATGCTCATTGTTTTCACTTGGGGCTGTTCTAGGACATGAACAAGATGACTGTTTGTTCTGGTTTGAAAGCAAAACCAGTGAGAGACTCCAAGTCAGAAACACAATTTATTAGAAAAAGGGAAAACACCCAAAATACATGCAATAATACAAAAGAAAAACCACTGACACAGTCAGAATACAACCTGACACCCTGCTAGTTAGGGTGGTGGTAGCAGTCCAGATGAAATGGTCTTGTTGAAGTGGTGTTCCCATAGAAAAGACCTCGTAGCTCATGTCCTCTGGAAACCAGTGGGTAAGTGTTTGTTCTTTCCTCTGCATGGGCACAGCAGATGAAATTACAAACACTTTTCTTTTAAATTTAATTAGAATAAAAAGGGTGAAATGTAGCCATGATATTTTCTGAAAAATCCTTTCCTTAGGATTTTTCGTCCTGAGAAGCTGAGAGGCCTCAGGAACAAAATGTAAACAATGGTTATCTGCTGCTGTGGAATGCAACAGGTAGATCTGTGATTGGTCTCATGGAGTCGTTTCTAATTAATGGCCAATCACAGTCCAGCTGGCTCGGACTCTCTGTCCCAGCCACAAGCCTTTGTTATTCATTCTTTCTTTTGCTAGTCTTAGCTAGCCTTCTGATGAAATCATTTCTTCTATTCTTTTAGTATAGTTTTAATATAATATATATAAAATAATAAATCAAGCCTTCTGAAACATGGAGTCAGATCCTCGTCTCTTCCCTCATCCTCGGACCCCTGTGACCACGGTCACACAGCCAGTGTTCAAACAGGAGGGAAGTCTGCAGTCTTTCTGATAGAAGTGGACACATATATTCGGTTTATATTTTAAAAAATACAAGTATGATATGCTTTGCCTTATAAAACTTTCTGTTCTTAGCTGAGTATTTTAGCAGGATATCAAATGCAAAGAGTTTTGCTGTCTGAATGGCTCTATTAGGAATGAAATTCCATAGGGAAAGAGGAGTATTAAATAGTATTTGAAGCTAGGATAGTATAACCACATGGACCACAATCCCCTTTGAACATAAATAAATAAAGGTGTGGGGGGTAGGGCCTTCTACCACTTCGTGGCTGCTCTGTCCCTCAGCATGGAATGGAGGGGATATTCTTTTGTCATCACGGTCCCTTTGCCAGGACAGGTGTCAAATCACAACAGCTTTATGTGCAGGTAGGTCACTGCAGTTTGTCACCACAGTAATCCTGTATTTTTATTTCTTGTTATACTCTGTCATCATTAGCACACTTCCAGCAATAGCGATTCTAAAACCAGTTCTGTACAAAATGTATTTATCTGTGGTGCCATCCAAGATTAACAGTGTGGGACACCACTGTTCTGGGAAGAGGCTGTTCCTTACAAATCTGCTTTGCAATTATCTTGCCAGTCCTTAGGGATACACCTCCAGAGCCCTGAACAAGAGTGTTGGGGCGGGGGTGTATATTGAAATACAAATGAGATGCCTGTTTTAGGATCCTGTTCAGAGCTAGTACCATGTGACTTCCAGCTCTTCCCACATGGCAGAGAATCCCAGAGCTTTTGCTGTTACCCGATTTCCCTGCTGCTTCTCCCTTTGGTGCCTGGCAGGTGATGTGCTCAGTGTGGTTCACACGCATGTGTCACCCACAGGCTGCACCCACGGGTGCCACACTTTCCTACCAAGGAGAGAAATGCATCAGCTGGAAACCTGCACTGCCAGGCTACCTGGTTTCACAGCACAGTGGTTTTGGTTTAGAAGGGGGCCTGGCCCGCAGCAGGGGCCACCCGGCCCAGCCACTGTTACCTCTTTGCCAACCAGAAAAGAAAGAGATTTCCCATGATTTTTCATTTTTTCACACGAGTGTTCACAGAGGTGTATCAGCTCTCTCTTTACATCACTTCCGTGAGTGCCTCCCATGCAAAACCACTACACACAGTCAGGGCCATTTGGTAAACTCAGGGTTTATGTTAGCCAGGACATCCATTTGGTCCCAGAGGGGGAACCTTTAGCCCTCTTTTTCACATGTCAGAGTCAGGTCAAGAGCCACAAGGGTAACCACATCCTTGTGAGGAGGGCAGCAGGGTGGTGCAGCCCATGGCGGTAATGCAGGATTCTCTCTGCTAACAGAAGCTTCCTGTTGAGAAATATTCACTGCAGAAACCAAAAATACTCAATGCTGTAATGTTTCTCAGCACCAGTATGCTCCAGCCATACAACAAATGAGGTGCTTTGAAGTAGAAATGTTTTATTGCAATATTTCATTATTTACAGTACCATTCCCTTTGTCTCTGGGTGCAAAAAGTACACCAAAGTGCAAAGCTATTTTGGGCAGGAAAGCCAAATGATGGTAACTTAGCAGAAGAACACGACTGTGCCTCCTCACTCTGGCTGTCCTGCTTCTTCCAGGTCCTGAATACAGAGAAGTTTTCTGCTCTCCCTGGGCATTTGGAACAACCTGGTAATTGCGAAACTTTGGTCACGAAGGATTGTCAGTTGTTGGTCTGTTCAAGGTGATGCAGGAACAGGAATCTGCAGTCTTTCCTGCAGGACTTCACTCGGGATTCAGGGTTTGTAATGGTGTAACAAGACATCTTTGTATGCAGGGCTGTTATGTTGCTATCTCAATTTTTGATGGAAGTACTGGTTTATTTCCAATTATCTTTCTTGCTGACTCTCTTTGATTCATTTAAGGTTTTGAGGTTATTTATCTGCTCCCTTAAAAGAGCAAGAAACTCAAAAATGTTACCAGAGTTGCTACTGGATACTGAAATCAGTCAAGTCTTCCAGCGTTGCACTTAAAAAGTTTTACAGAATACCACAAATTTTATTATGCATTTCCATTTGCTATAAAAATGGTGATTCAAAACACCACTGAAGCCTACATTTGTACACACTATCATCTCAAAATAGGACAAATTATACCGGTTACTTCAGGATCTCTCAACAGAAACTCTCCTTTGGAAAGGGGGTAGTAACTACAAATTTTATGGAAGACTAGAGAATGGCAGTATTCCAGTGGCTAAACTCAGGTCAAGAATCTTTCCAGCTTTCTAACAAGTTTATTAGCTTGAGAAAGTACTTTGAAAGAGAGTTTTCAGGCAGAATCCCTGCAATTTCCACTGCTGCCAGCATTCCCTTTGGAGATAAGTGGTGAACTTCTCTGCCTCAGTTATCTCAGGGTACATCAGAGATGTCGTTACCTCTAAAACTAGAGACACCTTCTGTTACAAAGCTCTTGTACAATTGGGAAACATTTAAGACTCCATTCCAGAAAATAAGTTAAATGAAATGGCACTCGAGTCCTCCAGAGAACATGTAGCAGGGCTACTGGGGGAAGCTCAGCAGCAGTAGCTGCTGCTGCTCTCCTTACCACATGCCTGATTTACAGTTCAATATTGAGTCCTTGCAACAGCTGCCTCAAATGATTTTGAAATTGTAGCTTCTCAAAAATGGGATGATTGCAGTTCTTGGCAGGTTTCTTCTTGTGGGTCACACTTTTATTCCATGTTTTCACAGGCTTTTCTGTATCACTATTGATAGAAAGCCACCAAAAGCTTTACAGTTGCAGAAAATACCATTTTCACAAAGAAAATGTACTGTATTTTTTTCCTTAACCTACCATACAAAACACAGTATTTAGAAGCTCTGTGGTGCCTCCCTTGTAGCACTCCTTTGGAATTTGGAGGAGGCGGCAGAGCTCACATGCAATCCACAACGTTGCTGGATCCCTGGCCCACATCCCGGATCTGGCTGCTGAGACAGGAGCACACGGCCACGCCCGCCCCTGCCCTGCAGTGTGACACTGAGCCCACCAGTTCCCACCTGCAGGAGAAAAAGAACAATAAGTTCCTGCCCTTTCTGAGCAACCTGAAAGTATTTTCTGTGCCTGAAATTCTATTACACCGCCTAGCTCTTCACTCTGCACAAAAGTGCACCCCATTTAGTGCAAAATCAGACTGAAACAAGTAGAAGAATATAGATTGTTACTGAATGAAAGGGCAACAACAAGGATTAGAGAGGAGCAGAGGAGGAGGAGGTGCTTAAATATTTACAAGATTGCCCTAGTGATATAAGCAGCAGTCCTGCATTGATAGCCATGGATATGACTCAATTATTACCAGCTAGGCTTCTCCTGCACACTGCTTCTATGCTGCTATGTTTTTATACAGGCAGATTTCCTTGTCTTATTAGGACAAACAAAACATTTGAAATTACCTGTTCACTATGGGATCAAATGCTTCCACTGTATTCAGGTACACGTTGCCATTATGACCTCCAACTGCAAAAATTTTTCCCATCAGTGTTGCTATGCCAACACCACCCCTTGGAGTTGTGAGCTCTGCCACGTATTCCCATTTGTTACAGCGTGGGTCAAACCGCTCCACTGAGCTCAGGGGTGAGTTGTCATCAAACCCACCTGCAAACAACCATCACAGGGTCAGCTTTTGGCACTCCTGGTGCAGGGAATATCCAAGACTGGCATTATCAGGTATTCTCAGCATTTGGGGGTCCTGTCCAGCACTCTCCTTACCAGAACTTTACAAGCTCCTAAAAATTAATCCAACAGCTCACCCTCTTCTCACTGTTCAAGCATTACCTGAGCAATAACTTTCTTCTACTCAAGTTGCAAGGATTCTAATTTTATTATTTTTCCCTCCGAATTCATCGTATTTATAATGAAACAGCTTCCCAAGTGGAAGAGAAAGAAACCTAACACCAGTAAAAGGATGGTCTCAAACTTATTTTACTTTATGCAAAACACACTCTAGCAGTGTTCTCAAATTACAGCATTGGCAAATATTTGAGTAGGGGAAAAAATTCGTATAAGACTAAGTGATGCATTCCTCTTGCTGGGGAAACTGTCAGAGGAGCATTTTGTTCAAATTCTATTTAAGCACTTACAATAATACACAAGTCAGAGCTTTTTAAACTATCACTGTGGCACACCTACTTGGCATCTTCCTCTCTTAGGAAAGCAGGTAAATACAAGCTAGCACACAAGACAAGAAGCTGTGGAATAAGTGCAAAAAAAGCTACTGTTGTCTACACTCAGATCACAACTGGAGTTATGTTTGAAAGCACATGAACTTAAGAATTGTTTCCTAAAAGAAAACTCAAGAATAGTGAGTCTTGAGAGGATTTTCTAAAAAGATGTATTGTCCTGAACAGATCAGCCCTCCTGAAATGTGGGTTAGGAGCTGCTTTTCATTTCCTTGCTAATGTACCTTCGTTTAAGCATGACCTGGTTGTGCTTGCATTCTTCTCCTGCCCAAGAACACCAAGTACAGGTCAGCTCTATCTGTTCCCGGTTCCTCTAGCAACAACAGCCTCTTCCAAAGCCAAGCACTTGGCAGCAGCAGCAGCAGGAGCAGCACTACAAAATGCCACATCCCTACTCACCCACAACATACAAGCAGCCGTGGAGCTCACTGACACCGTTCCCAGCCCTTCGCTGGCCCATCTCTTTTACTTCTATCCACTTATCCAAGTGGGGATCATATTTCTCCACACTGGAAAGAGATGCTACACCATCATTGCCACCCACGGCGTAAACATGGTTCTGGAAAACAGTTGTACAAAGATTATTTGTGATGTAGTTGCCTTTACTCAGCTTTTCATAAGCAGTGTTAAAATTATATGAAAACGTGGTATATCCATTTAATTTGAGAATTCCAACAACAGGTTTAATTATCTAACATAAATTCTATCTCTTCCAATGAAAGAAGTGCAACAGTTTTGTAGTGTTGCAGCTATTTTTCAGAGCATGGGGGGATTAAAGTAGAGCATGCATTTGGTACCTTTAAACATAATGACCATGGCAATCCAGTCAGCTGAGCGAGATAGGAAGCACTATCCATATCATTAGAACAGTACCTCAAATACTGTTGAAACAGTTCAATTTGCTATGAATATTATCTTAAGTATCCTCACATTTTGCACAAGATTTTGATGACTAGAAGTGCTCAGACCCACCAGCTGCATTTTGTTTCAGGCCTTGTGTTCTGCCTTGTGAAGGCAGCTTTGAAAAGCAGGTGGGCTCCCCAGCAGTGACTCACCACCAGGGCTACGGAGCCGACGCCTCCCCGGGGAGTGTTCATGGAAGCCACGGTGCTCCAGCGATCTGAGTCGATGTCATAGCGCTCCACGTCACTGAAGCACGTGTTGTCATCCAAGCCCCCAATGGCATAAATGGGGCCGCCCAGGGACGCCAGCGCGATGCCTCTCCTAGGAAAACACAGCAGCAACACCTCAGTGCAAGTCCTTAACCAGAGGGAGCCACACAGCAAGTGCTATGGTACAGGAATGGCACCTGTTTCAAACTAGGGGGAAAAGAGTAATGGAAATTTTAAAAGTGACGTTTATAGAAAATCATGTTGCTGGCCCGCTGCACACATGTGTCCTTTTCACTGAATGTCAACTCTAAGGCCAAGTCCTCTGCTCACATATTTGGATACATGACAATGTCTTAGATATGATTTCTCTATTTTATTAAATCTGAAGATGAAGCAAAACCTGCTATAGCTGGCTGCTACCATTTGAGAATGATTGGGGGTGATACTAATACATATTAAAAGGCAAACCTGTGCTGGATATTAAATAGCTGAACTCTATCAAGATTTAATTGTGGTTTCTTCCATTCTGGTGTTTTTTAATTGAGTGTTAAAATGGTTGTCAGATTTGTTTCTAATAAATTACTAATATTAGAGTACAATCAGTATTATAAAATTGAAAATAGGTCTAGAATAAAAGCATTAAGTTTCTGCTTTAACCACCAAGTGAGGTGAACTACCATGTTACTGACAACATTGTTGTCTCATTAAAGAGGGAAGGTTGAGGCACGAGCAAGGGAGGCACAATCCTTCTACAGAACAAACCCTGTGGCAATATCCTGGCCTTACCTTTTGCCTCAGCAGGTAACACAGACACCACTTCATGGTGGCATTTTTCTCCACTAAGTATTCCAAGACTTCCATGAATAGGAGGAGTGGAGCTGGGAGGTGGCCAAGGCACAGCAGCCCTTTCATTTACCTAGGTACTCAGTAATAAATGTCACAGAAATCTAGGGCTGATTGTTGCTGAGATTATGCCCTGGGGGTGCAGGCAGGATGGAAGAAGTAGAGCAAGCCACTTCTAGGAGTCTAGGTCTTCTACTTTAACTAGGTCACAGCTACAAATAGCTTTCAGACTTAAGCCATACTTATTATTTCACTTCTACTTGCATGTGATGCTTTGAAAAACAACAAACAACACAACAGAATGCAGAATTAGGGACACTGATTTAAATAACAGCAGAAAAAAAAATACAGATCTGTGAGTCCAGTAACTCCTTATAAGAAACTTAAATGTCAAGACAAAAAAAAGTCCTCAATCTGACTTTCAGATTGTGTGTTTCTGGCCTTTTGTGTGAAAAACATAGGCAGCTATTTTTTCCTGCTGTAGCATTTAACTTTTTTAATTTTCACTATGAAATATTTCACTTCTCATGTTATGCTGGCAGTTATCTCACTCATTCCTAAAAAGAGCAAAAATCGCACAGAACCAGTTCATCAGTTCCAAGTTGTTTACTGGGCACAGCAGAAAGGCCCTGGATAACAGAATGTAAGCACAGCTGGAGTAGATGTCCCTGGTCCAGAAGCTAGCTCCTCCAAAAAAAGAACAGAAGGGTGATACATTCATAGCATAAAGCTCCAAAATAGGGGAAAGAAATTCCTAGAAATAGAACAGTTTGGAAACACCAAAAAAAAAAGCAGGACAGACAGGATGTTTTTCAACATCAGCAAGAAATGGTAGACCACAGACTACGACTTGGAGTGTGGGACATATATACCTCTTTGTGTTCATTGATGCCTTCATCATCCACTTGTTTGTGAGAGGATCAAATACTTCCATGCTTCCTAAGTGCTCATTTCCATCATGTCCACCTACTGCGTAGACTTTACCTGAACACACAGACATCTTTTAAAACAGAGATTGCTTGGCAACATTTCAGTTTTCATTTATATAATATCCCTGCCTATGTGGAGACAAAGAGGTCAAATAAAGGTTGAAGTTTTAAAATGTTTTCAGTATCAGAGTTTTATATGCTATATTTATAACCAGGAATCTATTCCAATGAGAACATCTATACAAAGCTTGAGATTATGTAAACAAAAAACCGTCCCATAATTTAAATACTGCAGGTCAAATCAGTCTGGACACATGTACCAGTCTCTCCACATTTTATATGAAGAAAAATTATCTCTGCTCTGCTGCAGCAACAGAAGGGCTGCTAAGTACAAGAGAAAGCTGCATTATTGGTGCTAAGCTGCTCTGGACTGCACAGATCTGTTTTCAGAAGATGGAGACCCAAAAATGAAGGTCTGCTCCTGGAAGAGTTATGGTCTTAGTAACTTTCTAGGATGGATTTAAGTAGGAAGGGAGCTAGTATGAGTACTAGCAAATTCTGGGTGACTGCTGTGTAAGGCAATTTCTTTATAAATGGATTTTAAAAAATCACCTATTTAAGGCCAGAAGCTATATACAGTTCAGTTGGGCTGGGAGGAACCTTTAAAGGCCACCTAGTCCAGCCCCTCTGCAATAAGCAGGGACATTTTCATTTTCAGATTGCTTATAGCACTATCCAGTCTGACCTTGAGCATTTCCAGAGATGGGACATTTACCACCTCTCTGGGTAACCTGTTTCAGGTTTTCACCAACCTCACTGTAAAAAACTTCTGCTTGATATCTAGTTTAAATCTATGCTCTCTTAGTTTAAAACCATTACCTCTTGTCCTATTAAAACAGGCCCCACTAAAAAGACTGTAAAGTACAGAAAGGCCACAATAAGGTCTCTTCAAACAGCCCAACTCTGTCAGTTCACAATAATGTTTTTTTCCAAAAGCACAGTCTCAGATTGGCTCTGGGCCAAACATTCTTTCAAAGGGGGAGAAGCTTTACTAAACTGAAGACTATCCAACAATTAAGCAATTAGTTTGCTTCTTGTACAGCTAGTAAAAGAACCAACTTTGTAAAAGGAGCAAACAAGTCCCTTTTGCCTGGGGTTGCTTGAATGGGGTTACTGACCTCCCACAGAGATCACACCCACATGCCTCCTCCTGCTGTTCATTTCAGGGCCGAAGAACCAGCTGTTCTTACTGATGGAGTAACACTCAATGCTGCGGAAGGGGTCACCTGATCCACCTCTGCCACCGACACAGAACAGCACACCTGGAGAACACAAAACAGGTTTACAGAGAACTAGCAGGAGGATGGGCAAAAACACTTGTACAGCACAGCAAACTGAAAATTATGTAGTTTGGGGGAAGCTGTATTTCACTTCAAGGAGCACAGTCATTGCCCTTCACAACTGGGTACTGGATTTTGGCCTTTGCTTGACATACTGCTACGGCAATTAGCTATCTATGCTCTTGCAAAAACAATGCCTATTTTAAATATGCTTTTTGTGGTTTGGCTTAGGGAGATAAATCCACGGTTTGTTAAATATAATGATATAGAAATTATGATCTGCAGTCAATATTCATCACTCACTTTTGGTGTAGGTTAGTCAAAGAAGTTAGCTCAACCTTCAACACCAAAAGATAACTGTCCACTGTTTTCGGTACAGTTTTGAACAGATTCCCTGGTCATAACATACATAACAGCTCTAGCTTTAATAAAGATAGAGCTAATCCAGATAGATTATTAATGCTTTAAAGAAAGAAAATAACTGCTAAAGTTCTGCTAGGAAAATGCAGCACATTACCGAAATACCAGAGAGGTACATAATGGCTTTCCCAATTTTGCATTAAGTCATTAACAACCCTCGTTATCAAGCTAAACCTGCTTTGATATCAAGACACCTGCACAGATGTGCTGCTTTTTCTCCACACCACTCCCTACTGGGTAACCAGACACACATTTAATTACCAGCAGTCTGCTTCCTTGGTGTTGTGCGAATGGAGTACTCAAAGTCAGGCACTGCCCTGCTGCTCAGGTGAAGGTGGTAGTTCCTTGCTTCATCCAGCAAATCCCTACATTTTAGATTCTGCTTGACAATCTCTTCCTTTGCCACAACACCCATAAGGAAACAAATGGGCAAGAGAGGCAGCCGTACCTGACATAAAAATGAACACAGTTGGAGAAAATGGCTGAACTGCTGAGTGTCATCAAGCAGTGCTGCACATGCAGCAGCTGGCAACTCCGGAGCCAGTCGGCCAGTCGGCAGCCCCATGCTTCTCAATAAGGAGAGCAGCTCTCAGAGTTGTTCCAGACAACAGAGACATGAACAGTTCTTTTCGGTGATAATGTTTGCTACAACCATTTGCATTTCAGCCACAGTGGAGAAGTGTCCCTTGGCCCAGGCTGTGCTGAGGAAAGAGACCAGCTGCTGCCCATGCTGCACCTGCACCTGCCCAGTGTGATGCAGGCAGCACCTGCAGCTTTACCAGGTCTTTGTCAGATTAGTCTGCTGTTGGGTATGAATCTTCAGCTCACTGCCATGCCAGTATAAGAGAGCTTGTTCATTGGAAAATGGCTCATTTTCTTTGGGTGGCAAGTCAAAAAGGAAACAGTCACCATGAACTAAGTGTCTATAAAGCAGGTATTGCTACTGCAGTAACACCGTTCTTTAAGGCAGACTTGGCAGACTTCAAGCTTAAAAAAAAGTAATAAATATTGAGAGAGTAATAATTGAGAGTAATAAATGTACTTAAAAAAGTAATAATTGTTTCCTTCTCTAAATCCTTCCTGCCATTTATTTTAGCAAACCTTTCATCCTTCTTTTTAAGACAAACAGTGCAGAATACTAAGTACAATCAGAAGCAAAGGTGGGGCAGATGTTAGTGGGGGGAACTGAAGCAAATCTCCACCTGACTTCCTAAGGTTAGGAGTCAACACTGTCAAGCAGCTCTCAGCTGACTCAACAGCAATGGTGCAGAAGCCCAGTACCTCCAGTGCTTCTCAGAGCAGCAGGATGGGGCTGTTATAGCACTGACAAGCATCTTTGTCTTGAAGCAAGCATGTGTCTCTACCTGTTCTTCCTCACCTCCTTGCTTTCAGTCCCACTTTTTCCTTTATTTTGGCCCAGCTTATTTGAGGCTACTTTAAAGCACCACTGTAGCCCTGCTGACAGGCTCCTAAGGTTAGTGACATGGTAAGAACTCCAGGCTGTTAAACTCAGAACCTTATTATAACAGTGAAACCCAAGGCTGAATATGACATAGATAATCATTGTCTAGAAGCCCAGGCATGTCATCTGCTAGCAGTAATGTCCAAGTCAACCAATGTCTCCATATGCTCTGGCAAACAGCCCATATTTACAAGAAGGGGTTTACTTTTTCTTTGCTTGAATCTAGACTCTGGTTTCCATCAACAGAATACAACTGTTAATCTCATCTGCTAGCATAACTGGGCAATAAATATAAATTTATTTTAAAAAATCTTTAATTATATTGCCTGTAAGTTTAAGTACAGCATAATAAATAAGGGGGTTTTGTACCAAAAACCTTATGCTAGTCTAGATGAAACTGAAGGATTTTGGAAGACAGCTAATAGACCATTGTGATCTTTTCCTAGGAAATGTGAAAAATTATTCATGAAGACAATGACAGCAGCATCTCAGTGGACCACTCCTTTCTCACATAATGCCAATATTATCAATTCAGCCAAATGCAAAATAATCAAGTTAGAGTTCAGTGGCAACTAAAACTGCCCAGCCAATCCTACCTGCTAAGACACATGGAATGTTTTGCAGCACATGGTACGCAAATTCTTCCCAGTACAGGCTCTCCACCTCTGTCTCAAATACTGTGACACAACTTGATGTGACACATCTCTCTTAGTTTCCTTTCCTAGCCATGTAAGAAAACCCAAAAGCTTTGCCTCCTTTCTTAAGTACAAATACGTAACAGCAAGGACAGCAAGCATTTCAGGCTATAGGAGTGGCAAGCCAAGTGAAGTGATGGATTTATATTCTCTCTATTTTGTGTCAGTATAAAACATTTCTGCTCAAACACAGATGTAGCTTTTTGTTGGTTTCCTGCCTCCCAGCCATGAGCATAAACTGAGTACTCTTCTCTCTACAGAAATGGGAGAATATCACTTCCCTCCAGTATTCAAGAACTCTAACTTGCTTCCACTGTCAACTCCCAACCCTGAATACCGGATGAGGCACCAATACCTAAGAACATTTTTCACCTTGAGATCTACCCAATTACAAAAAGGTGATTACGCAACTAAACCAGTGATGAGACAGGGACTTGGTGCCTTGGTCTGCCCTACCTGTGCAAGGATCTCATCCAGCCACGTAGCATGATGCTGTGGATTGGCCAGCAGCCACTTGATAGCAGCATTGTAAACTTGCTTTTCATTTTCAATATTCAGGTCACTGGAAGACAGGAGTTTATGGAGGTGCTGTGGTGACACACTCACAAAGTCCTCGCACTCCATCACTTCTGTGAAATGTTCACAAGCAAACTGATCAGCCATGTTCATCAGGTCGACACGGTTGTGGCTCTCGGCAAACGCCCTGACTGCTAGGCAGTTGGAGGGGTGGAAGTGCAGCTTCATGTACTCACAGCAGGCCTTTGCCACCAGCTCTACCTGCAGGATGCAGGCGGCGTACAGGAGGGGCTGCACGTTATCCACCGTCAGCGTGAGCCGTGAGGAGTACGCGAACTTCACCAGGTCCTCGATAGCATCGCCGTCAAAGTCCCTGATCTCAATCAGCTTCTGCTTGGCTTCTGCCATTTCTGAAAGAAACATGGCTCGGAAGTACGGGATAACGCAAGCTAGCACTAGTTTGTGGCAGGAGATTAGCTTTGAACCAACCTGAGAGAGAAAAGAAGAAAAAACCCTCAATGTTTTACTGGAAAGTCAGTTTTGGTTGTGAAAGCAGGAACAGTGAAACTGAAATAAGAATTCTGGACTACATGTATTTTGTCCATTCAAATTAACCCAATTTGTGCTGTATTTCTGACATTACATCCAAGTATCCCAAGAAATTCTAAGTTGTAGCTTGGCCATGAGAGTAGAGCAAAGCTGTAACACAGGTAAGCAATAGCACTGATGCCTTTCTTTAAAGGCCTTACGAAATATCCTTAGAAATATTCTAGATGTATCTTGGAGACAGGAGGAGACTGCTAGACACTTATTTTAGATGTACTCAGAGACTTTAAGGGGGGCAAATTAGAAAGGGACATTTTTAGACTACTTAATTTCGATTTCTGGACTTCTGGATTTCAACTACTGTTGAAGAACTGATGTTTATAGAGGCAAATTCATGTAAAAACACAGGAATAACAGCTATTTCAGGGGTTATTAGAAGTTACCAATCACTTCAATGTTTTTAGAATGTTTACCCACAAAAGACAGTGTACTCCCCATAAAGAAAAGGTATTTCTCAAAATTCTGATCAGAAAATGTAAAATAAGCTGTTTGTGTACAAAATTCTATAATTCCACTACATTAAAAAAGAATCTAAGTATTGAAAATAAATGAACAATCTACTTCTTATATGTGTTCCAGGAGTGCTTTCTTACAGCCTTTGTCACTCTGCACTAACATAAAGGCATAGCTGGCTGACATAAGCAACCAGTTTCCCTGACGGACTCAAATTACATGTTCACTTTCAGATGAAGATGTTACAGAGAGCTGTTGTGCATTTGAGAAAAGATACTAAATTATAGAGGATATTTTGGTTTTTTTCTAGCTGTGATTCAATACTCACTTGCTCTTACATTTTTAAAAAGTATGATCAACACCAGTGTAACCTACCTGGTGAGCAGTGAGCTGACTACTAGAAAGCAAACATACAAGAAAGAGTATGCAGATTAAAAAAGAGGAAAAGATGGGTTCCTCAGTGTGAGATCACCCCAGAAAGAACAATTCAGACCTACCAAATGAACAAAAAGCAAACCATCAGGAGAAAAGCAGATGGTATTCATCTGCCACTCTTCACCTTCTAACAGCCTTCTAAGACTGTTCATATGACAGCAGCAGGAAAGTAGGTGAAATTCCAGAGTTTAACTTTTGGAGCAGAAGGAGTCTTCCTGTGTGCTCCCACAGCTTATCATTGTTACACCATCAGCACTCCAACTAACTACCATATTGATACAGAAAGATGCTACTAGTGGTCTGCTGTAGCAGGGAAAGTTCCTCAGGCCATTCTTACCTTCAGACACTTTAATTCTGCCCATCATCCCACTCTCTAAACCTTTCTTTTGAATTAAGTGGCTTTACTATGTTACCCAAATCTGCTTAATTTTAAATTACAGAATGGTTTGGGTTGAAAGAGACCTTAAAGGTTATCTCATTCTACCCCCTGCTATGGGCAGGGAGATCTTATATAGCATGTTCATGCTATTTTGAAATCAGAGTTCCCCTCCAGTTACTAACTATCGTATTTTAAGAGCAGCAGTTAAAACAATAATTGGTCTGACAAAAGCAACGCTAGAATTTCTCACTAACTCAGGTCACACACAAAAGCAGAAAGTTCAGTAGAGATCTGATTATTCTTACAACATGAATGAGACCTGAGCACTACAGGAAGAAAAATTGAGCCCCCCTGAAAATTCTAATTCAAGTTCGCAGTTACTTGAAAATCCCTCATGTAGGAAGCCATATAGTAAGATGTATGTCCACAGGTTGCTCCAGCCTTCACTGGAAGCCAAGTCATGTCATCTAACATTCTTAAGTTACCAAAGTAGCTCCACACAGATCATAAAGGTGAACATTAATACAAGCCTAACTTACGGAAAGTTAAATTGCAGCCCCAGTAAAGTGTTTTTTCCAAGGCAAGTTTCCATAGCAGGAACATACATTGAACTACACTTATAAAATAAGACTTTCTGCCTTTTCTATTTTGCAAGGGTAGGTGGAAAGGAACAAAGGTAAGAATGAGGTCAACAAGAAAAGGGATGAGGAGGGTTGGTAACACCAGGGACATGCATCTGTCAAAGATTATCCTTGTTCATATCTAACAGTCTAAGTAGCAGGCTAACAACTTCTCCTAAAGGCATCTGTCATTTGTTCTTGGCTTAGGAACTGTGCTTCATTGCTATTCCTTAAATAATTATCTTGAACTAATAAGTTGCTTAGCTAAGCAATACTTAATATTCAAAGGTGCTGGCACCCACTTCTATGCATGCTAAATACAAGTTTATTGTAATCAAGATATAAGTAATATACAGCTGTGTTACAAATAATGCCTTAAAGCAATGCTATGCAAGAATCATAAAATTTGCTTCATCCCTCTCTTTCTTTACTCTTTGATCAGCTGTAGAACACAACCATCTGGGTTTTTTTCCCTTCTTTCTTTGAAGAATGATGGAAGTTAGATTTCTTCCAGAAATCCTGTTTGCTGAGAAGAATCTAGCAAAACAACACAAAATGCAGACAAGGAGGTAAAACTGGAGATGAAAGTAGCTGGAACTGCACAGTAATTAGTGACCAACTGTGGGAACTTCTGAGAAGGCAAGTTGGATAAGCTCTAAGTAATGTACTTCCACTCTCAGATTGTCAATATTTTAGGTGGTTTCATTTCAGCTGTAAACTTGAAAAAAAACCCCTAGCATCTCTAATGATGTCTCAGATCCAAGAGGTATTCTATTCTGTGGTTTCCATACCCTTGCCCATATTCACAGCCAACTCCCAACACACTTATCTGCAGCTGAATCTTCAGACTGATACATGCAATGTATATGTGGCAAGTATCACCTTCAGTGTAACATCACAGAGCTCTCCAGCTTCAAAGAAGTGAAGAAGAGAGCTGTGAAAATCCTTCCAAGCCTCATTTGCCTCAAACACGAAGACATCCTCATCACTGATGGAAGGCTGAGTTTGCTGCTGCTGCCGCCTTTTTCCCTTTATCAGATGTTGTTTTGCCTGCTCAGGAAGCATGGATTCTGAAGCCATTGGCTGTTGCTTCTCTCACTGCATCAGTCTTCAAAAACTCCTGCCAAAATAAAGTCCAGCTCATCAGGAGTTAGGTCCTAAAATTCAGTTCTGTTCATCTTCCTGTTTAAAAACACACACAAAAAAAGAAAACGAGACATTAGGTAATGCTAGTACGCAACACTTCAATTACATTATAATACTACCTATGATCTTGGGGAAGGTTAGAGGTGAAGGGACCAAAAAAGAGACCCACAGCTAAGAATCCTATGTAGGTACCTTTAGGAAAAGCCATTATTTATGAACTTGTTGTCCACACTTCTTGATAAAGACATGAAAAAAAAAGGTAAATATGTACCACAGAATCATACAATTGTTTGGGTTGGAAAGGAACTTAAAATGTTATACAGTTCCAACCTTCCATTAGACCAGGTTGCTCAGAGCCCCATCCACCCTGGCCTTGAACACTTCCAGGGATGGGGCATCTGCAGCGTCTTTGGAAAACATTTTCCAGTGTCTCGCAAAGAACTTCCTCCTAATAGCTAATCTAAATCTCTCCTCTTTTCATTGCAACTGCTCCCATTTGTCCTATGACCACCTGCCTGTGGAAAAAGTAACTCTCCCGGTCTTTCATAAGCCACCTTTAAGTGCTGGAAGGTACTCCAGAGTATACTGAGAAGCATGTTCCTCTTACACTGACCACCTTTGGTTTCATGGCTTCCTAGTTAATTTATGATGCATTCATTCTTCAATCTATGCTAAGAGTTGACTGCTATAATTCAGGGATTTCTGCTCATGGACTCTGGTGTTGGAGGAAGTGGACTGGCCAAAAGAACAAAAAATTCTTCTGCAATAAAAATTTAAGTCACATGTCTGGGAGCAGAACTGATCTTCCTTTGTGAGATTTTGGAAGTGTCCATGTCTCTTACTAAATTTATAGCTCTTCATGCATCAGTACTGGAGAAAAAGCAGGAAGTGACCTGAGACAACCATACTTGTTCCTGCTGTAGTCACAGGGTTGCTGCTAGCAGCTTCCTGTGGGGTGACAGAGCTGGTGGCTGCACTGGGCCAGGCAGGTTCAAGTGAGATCAAACATGCAATATTTGCCTGTGGTGCTTTAAGTGAGGTAAGTATTCTTCCTTTAAAAGATATGCAAGAGAAAGATCTTACTTCTTCCGAAACTACAAATTAGCTCAAAGATATTATTGGTCATGGGATCTTTACACATTTTATAGCAATGAATACTTTTTTTCTGCTGAAAACTTAGCTTCATTATACCAGATTTGACAAATTACTAAGGTATTTTTCTAGTTCATTGTGATATTTTGGTTCTCAAATTAATTCTTCCTGACTGGTACTCATGTTTAAAATGCCCTTCAAAGAGGTCACTACAGCACTGAGATCTGAAGCTGACACAGAGCTTCAGACACAATCTCCTGAGGTTATAAAAATTAATATGAACAAACAAGAGGGAAAAGACTGACGTTGAAATGCTGTACAGAGATGCTGGAAGGCATCATTATTCATTCAACATGATAATGTAGGTAAAATACAGCACCTCTAGCCAACACTTGCAGGGAACTCAGACTTATTTTGGTCTTTGATGGACACTTTCGCTTCACCACTCCCTGCTTACTCACATCCAACCATTGCTATAGCGACTACAGACACTGCTTTTAGACAGATCTGCCACTGACTGCTAAATGAGAGTTCACAGCTCCCAAGTCATAAGGTTTTTCCATCTGACACATATGCTACATTTATCTTCCTGCTTTAACTGCAGCTGCACACAGACTTTTTTCACCTGTTCTCTGTCTCAAGGTAAAAAAGGCTCATGTGTACATTTTACCTATTCTGGATATGCCACTGTAAACACCAACATAAAACCCATGAGTCTTAAGAAAAAAATCAGTGCTGTTGGGGTGAATTTTTTATGCTACAAACGAACTAAGCAATAGTACAAAAGCCAGACATAACTGATTTTAAGCAATGCTCTTCATCCATATCTCATGCTCATAGCAAAAAAAAGGTCTTGGAGATGCTCTGAGCTTTTGCCTGTAAAAAAAAGAACTTCAGTGCATACTTGGATTTATATATTTGACACATACTAAGTACCCACTTGATATCATAGGGGAAGAAACTAGAAATTACCCTAGAGGAAACCAATGGCATTACTCAGGCACACAGCCATAGATAAGAAAATCACATCTATGAGAGTGCCCAGGATTATGATATCAAATATGTGTATGGGAACATGAGAACAAGTCAGTTACTGTTCCTCAGGTAAAGAGAAGTTTCTGCAACATGTTAAAAATTAACTTGTGTAATATAACCTTCAGAAATATTCACACAGCAATCAACTGACATACTGCAGCTTTTTTCTGATGAGAGTTGGTGGCAGGTAGATTTTTATTCTTCCCCCAAGTCACCAATTCAGCATCTTGTTTCTGTCATACACCTCCATCATGCAAATCTTTTTAGACATCTATCCCCAAATCTTCCACTGGTCTTAATTACAGAAGCTCACAATTTGAGTGTTTAAACAAATCATCTGCTATGGAAAGTACCAGCTGTAGCCATATTCATTTGCAAGAAAATACTGGCTTGGGCTCATCTTTAGCCATAAGCCTTTTCTGTTCTCAGATTTCAAACAAAAAAGAAATTCATTTTAGTAGCACTCAAGATACTAAATTCTGAAAATCTGAAGATCACACCGAATTTATGAAGGTTAATATATTTCAACTCCACAAACTAAGAGAAGAGCTTTTACAGATTTACTCCCCAAACCAACAGTAATTCAACAATAACATCCAACTACTTGAGGTTAGTTTCATCCTGGGTGAATGCCACACACACACACACACACACACAGTCTTTCCTTTCTAGAACAAAACACTGCCATGGCCATTCAGAACTTCAAAATCACGTCCCCTTTTTCACCTTGACAATTAAGTCTTCCAGCCTGTATATGTATTTTGATGACATTAAGGGCATAAGTGACCATCACAGTAAGTGACTGACTCTAAGGAAACTAAAGGAAGTGCCTCATTCATAACATCATCTATCAATCCTTGTGAACAGCTACTTGACACTTTCCATGAAGAAGTAGCTGTCTGAATAAAAAAAAACAAACAACAAACAAAACTAGCAAATCCCACACATCTTTACAGCTCACCATCATTTGCTGAGAGCCAGTCAGCAACTTCCTTGTTCAAGTTAAGTATTTAGAAATACTGATGATGTCTGCTATTCTCAAGAGGGCAGCTGTTCCAGACCCCAAAGTCTGAGTGCTGGCCCTCAGGCAAGGGACTGAGGATCTCCTCCTAGCTGTTCCTCAAACTTATGAAAGCAAGAAAGGATGGGAGGTCAGAGCACAAAAAGCTATCTTACAACTGCTCTAATTCAGGTAACATCTGAATTCAGTAACATCTGAAAGTGACATGATTTTGATTCAGACATTCTAGCTAAATCATAAACTGAAGTGTAAAATTTCTCAAGTCACGTTGAGTACTTGTGTTCAGTAGAGATAAAATACCTCCATTTTGAAGCAAAAAGAAATTAAAACAATAGGCGGTGATAGGACATGAATAACATCACTCTGTTTTCCCTCATTATGAAAATAAATCCCAGGAATCCTGGTGGACAAGCCCATTGTGATAGATGAGTAATGCGATGACTGACTCTCACAATTAACAGACAAATATCATGTATACAGGTTAAAAAAGTTTTATAGATTTATAGTTATATTTTACCACCTCACGTGGTTATCAAGGGACAGCTGGATTTGGGACATCTGGGAGGGCTGGCTTGTCACTATGGTGACATCTGACCTCCAATCAGGATTTGAGGAAGAGATCTTCACCACTGGACAGTGAAGAAGGGGTTGATGGACAGAACTTCAAGAGGGGTTAAAGGGTTAAAAAGGGGAAACCTCCATTGTGAGGGGGCTGAGCACATGGCAGGGAAAATCTTTTGCTCCTGGTGTCGTAACCTTTTTTCTCCATTCAGTCTTTTGTTGTAGTTTTGATAAGGTTTAATAAACCTTCCTAAACAATGAAAAGGGAGTAGCTATTTCTCACACAATCTAGACAGTGGAGTACATGGCCTCCTTTCCCCTGTGGAGCACCTCGAGAGGCAGTGTCCCAGAAAGAAGGGATCATCCTTATTCTTTGTCAGACACATGGGAGGAAGATACTTCAGTGATATAAAACAAACAAAACCATGACTGCCGCTGTAACAAAAACTAGGCAGTGTTCATATTAGAGGTATTATGATTCCTGTAAATCCAACAGTCCTTACGATCAGCGGTACAGAAGCTGGAAAAAAGGTGGCAGAAGTGCAGGAAAAATAAAGATACAGATGAAGTTCCCCCAAGTATCCTGTATGTAATTTTGACTACCTACCCCCAAGATGAACTAAAAGCACATCATGATCTGTGCAAAGAAGGGTGGTGAGCCTCCCTCAAAAACCAAAAAGGCCTTTTAATTGAAGGAAACAAGAAATTTGCCTTTGTACGTGTGGCTGTGTAAAACTAACTTGTCTAAGAGCCTGCTGAGTCTCTGTGGGTAAGGAAATGCTCTCACTGCTGCCCACAAAATCAGAACAGCAGAGGCAGCAACAAGATCTCCTCCAGTTTAATCCAGCTAACTGAGAAATTTGAGTTGTTGTCTTGTGTTGGGCTAAGAAAACTTGAACGTTTGGAGAGAGGACAGCTGGCAGAGCTAAGGAAGACCCCTTAGGGAGGGAGAGAAGTGGGAAAGGCAGGAGACAGCTGCAGTGCAAACTGCAGACAAGCAGCAGCTTTGGCAGGGATTGTGCTAGCAGCTGTTTCACTGCTCAGTCTGGCTACAGCTGCACCATCGAGAAGGAACATGGGGGAAAAAGCTGGTAAGACAAAATAGTGTAGAAAATTCTCAGTTCTCTCCCATTCTCTCTTCTCATCTTTAATTCTATTGAAGATGGTGTTGAAACATTATGCAAAACTGTTCAGATGCCCACACTAATTAGGTCAAATTAGACAAGGCTGGAAAACATGGGAACATTCAAATTACACACTGTACTACAACCCTAAGCCTACTGCACTTTTCAGCAGAAAGTTATTTAACTGAAAGAAAAAAAAAAAGTCAGAAACCACCCATCTAACTGGTTTAGCTTCTTTAAAACCACCAGGATTGCTTTTGTAGAAACACATAGAAAAGTTTCTTAGACAACACTAATTTACAGTTTCTAAATCCTTTCAGCATTTCAAAGGTTCTTTGCAGCAAAAAGTGACATTATTGTTTTGTTTTACTTTTGTTTCACACAGATAGCTCAGCAACAGTGAAATGGGTACAGCTAGCACCATCTCTCATAAGTCTGTATAATGAAAATCCCATCAGTGCTGCAGACACACAAGCCATGAATGAGGACTGCCCTTCCTTGGAAAAATGCAACAAAAAAGGTGTTTTGTATAGCATGAAAAACATAGTCAGATAAAATTTCATTTTGGAAATAATTCTTCCTGGCAGTCTCTTCATGCTGTTTTGAGACAGCTTCTTCCCAGCTCACTTTGATTCAGTGCTCAGTGAAGTTCTCCTGAGGTTTAATCCCAGCTTCCATGAAACACCAGAAAGGCCACCTGTCTCCTGGGATTTATAGAATGACAGGTTGACAATTTTGTTCAGTTTTGCATCATAAAAAAACAAACAAAACCCTCATAATGCCATGATTTATTTATGCTTCACTTTTACTTCTGAACAACCAGCAAAATCACTCACAAGTCACAAAACAGCAAAGCAGGACTCTGCTTTGCAGTTACAGGGGTAACTAAGGCATGGATTATTTACACAATGTAAAACTTGGGGAGGCCCAAAAAGTAGAACACAAAATAAAAACCACTGAAAATCAGTGCAATGGGAGCATAGTGAAGTGCTGATGGATAGATACAAAATTTAACTAGCCTCCTACATTCACAAGAACACAAAACAGTCCCTTACCAAGGAGAGGCACTATGATAGACCATATTAAAATAGTTTAATAGTCTCCACAGCAGCATTTAGTTCAGCCATTCCCAGGAAGTATTAACAGAGAGTAAAATTATTTCTAAGTCGTTTGGCAACTTCCTTTGAATTATGATTTTAAAAATTTAAATTTTAGCTGAGGGTTAGAACCAATTCATATTTAAGTTAGATACACTAATGATAAGTTAATGATTATTAACTAGATGCTTAAGCTAAAGCTAACTGTTACATTATGAGCTTATTTACAGAAGGAAGTGGAGCAAGTGAACCATTATGGAACATATTGAAACCAGTAGAACAATGCCCAGCACCTGGACTCTATGTTAATCCATCATGAAGCAGGGGGCCTGGGATCATGCCAGAGGGTCACAGAGACCTGATGAAGACCTTCTGGACTTCATCCTTGGGACCACTGACCCAATTCAAGAGAAGAACTGCACACACATGAAGCACTAATAACCTCATTTTAATACAAAGTGGGGATGGGAGGTGCTGGGGTTATGCATATGTATTATTTTGGGAAATAAACAGAAGGCAAAATTCCTTGTGCGGTGCAGTCACGCATTTCAGGGATGATCCCACCCATGCCACCTGCCCAGTGTAATAAACATACCACTTTCTAACTTTAACTAGTTACAGTCTTTGTCTGTGATTTTTGGTTTTAATGATTCACCTTTATTCTCAACATGTAAATCAAGGCATGGTATCCACTAGAGCATTCCAGAAATGTTGCCAAACAATACTTCCCATGCACACACCAGTCCCTTCCTCCCAGGACTCTGCCTTAGCTGCCAACCATCATCACTTGCTCTCATTTAGAGCTGAGATTCCCAAGATAAACAGCTCAAACCATAAAGCAGTATCACTTTCCTTTTGTCCCAGAGCTGCAAGGCTCCTTCAAAATCTGAAATCAAGAGGTGGCAGAGGTAATACAACACAAACGGCTTCACAACCCAAGATGCTACAACCATTGTAGGAAATTATTATTACAAAAATCTGTTTGGTGAAACATGCTGGTGAAGAACTAAAGCACTGGCTAACGTGGTGCTGCACTGCCTTGCATCAAATTACTGGCAGCCATTACACAAGGATCCTGTCTTTGTGTGACCACACTGATTACATTTGCCTCTACAAATAAAGAGCCAACTAGAAAACTGGATGCCAGGCTACTGGCATTCCACTATCAATCAAAAAAATAAATGAGGTTATGAACACACTGCACAGAAACCCCATGCACAACCTTGCCGAGTAACAATGCAGTCACATTTCTATCACAGCACAAGAGTTTGCACAGATTACAGGGGACTCAGCCCAAACTAACTCAAAAAATTCAGACTACATTGTTTGAAGGTGGCTGAACCTTTTGCAACTTAACCTCCATTTCCAGCAAAGGCGTATGAGACACGTCTGTTGTGGTTTTCACCTGACAACACTTGATGAGCCATTTTACTTGTTGTGGTACTTCTCCATAGTGTGATTTGTTTCTTGATTATCCTTGCAGAAGCCTTTGCAAACATTGCAGAAAGCCGGGTTTCTCTGAGTTTTGTAACTCTGACAAGTGTAGGACACAAAGGAATGACTAAGGCAAAGGAGGAAACACAGATACACTTCCCAGGGGGCAGTAAGCAATTGTCTTGAGTGGAGATGAAAAGGGGAACCTACCAAAGGAGGAAGCCAAGAAGCAGGCAGTTCCAAGAGCTGGGGGAGCTGTGACATCTTAAATTCTTATTTATTTGAGAAGGGAGAAGAAGCTAGGAACTCCTGAGGCCCTCCCCAGTAACAATGGGCAATTTCTTGCTGTTTTTTTGTTTTGTTTTTAACAAAAATATTTGTTGAGGGTTAAGCTAAGTGACTACTCTTTATCCTTTACGAAATGCCAATAGTGAGTTGACTAAGGCACTACCTTTGGCAGTCGTCTCCACATGGAGCAGCTTGAAACGCGGGGAATCCCGGCTCAGTTAATTTTTAATTAACATTTACCTCCTTCTCGGACAGTGTGGTTGCCGGGGCTCTCTCTGTGAATGCCCCCGCAGCACAAGCCCCCCGATGCCGAACCCGGGCACGGCGCTGTCTCTGCGCTCTCTAAGCACAGTCCTGCCCTGGTAACCATTTGCACCGATTCCACCTTAATTCCCCCCACACCGGCGCTCGATCCAGCTCCCTGGCTCCGATCGCAGCGATCCCCGTGGGCGAGAACGGGGCCGGGCCGGCCCCGCGGCCCTCCCGGGAACGGCTCCGGGCCGTCCCGCCCTAGCGGGGGTGCCCCGGGGGTCGGAGCCCTCGGCGCTGCTGCGAGGAGGGGGGAGACCACGGCACCGCCCGCCACGCCGAGCCCGCTCCCGGGACCACTGAGAGGAACCTGAGGGCACCGCCCGCCACGCCGAGCCCGCTCCCGGGAGCGCTGAGAGGAACCTGAGGGCAGGGGGCGCGTTACATAAGGGCGGGGGAGCCGCCATGCCGGTACGAGCGCGGTACGAGGGCGTGGGACGGCGGGGGAAGGGCGCGGGGTGGGATGGAGCCCTCCAGGTGCGGGGGAAGGGGAGGCGTGAGGTGAGAGCCGGGGTCAGCCCCGCGGTACCCGCCCGGTGCCCACCCCGCTCACCTGCGCTGCCTCTGCCGCCGCGGCGGGTCCGGCGGAGCACCCGCCGCCCGCCAAGGGGCGCCCCGTGCGCATGCGTCGCGGGGCGGGGGCGGGGTGGGGGCAAGGCCGGAGCCTGGCGGCGCTTCCCGCGCTCCCGCCTCCTCCCGCGCTCCCGCCCCCTCAGATTCGCGGGGGAAGACTGGTCTGTCTTTTCCCTCGGCGGGGTGTGTGGGAAATAGACTTTCCCGGTTCTTGGCGCAAAAAAGGGTTGCTCTTCAGCGGGAAGCAGAAGCAGGCAGAGCAACTCCTGAGAAATACCATGACCCTGTCGCTCTAGTTAGCGCAATCTCCACCGGAATAATCTACCCCCTTCTTGAGGGGAAGCCGTGAGGAGTGGCTGAGGTCACTTGGTCTGTTCAGCCTGGAAAAGAGGAAACTGAGGGGAGACCCTATTGCAGTTACAGCTTCCTCGGGAAGGGAAGCGAGGGGCCAGGCACTGAGCTCTTCACTCTCCTGACCAGTGACAGGACCCGAGGAAACAGCCTGAAGCTGTCAGGGGAGGTTTAGGTTGGATATCAGGAAAAGGGGTGGTACAGGGGTGGTTGCTCAACCACCCACAGGGTGTTTGGGCACTGGAACAGGCTCCCTAGAAAACTGGTCACAGCACCAAGCCCGACAAAGTTCCAAGAAGCCTTTGGACAATGCTGTAAGGCGCAGGGTGTGACTCTTGGGAATGTCCTGTGCAGGGCCAGGATTTGGACTCAATGATCCTTGTGTCCAAATGTCCCTTCCACATCAGCATGTTCTGTGATTCTTTGATTCTTTAATAAAGATCAGAGTGATCCTGCTTCAGATTTTGAAGGAACTGCTCTCCATGAGTTCAGCGAGAGAAGGATGTAATACAGAGAAGGAAAGGCTGTAGCATCTCCTTCCTCTTCACCTGTCCACCAGCTCTGGTCTCAACAAGTGTATATTATATCTATAGCTATATGCATATATCTACATCTATATACACATCATGCAGAGAGATGATACATACAGCCCCTCCAGTACAGGAGTACATTTCCCCAGTACACACTTTCCCCCTGGTTTGATTTGATAGTCTCTTTTTTAGTAGTATCTTTCTCTACCTGTGGAATAATAAGTGTAAGCCTTCATCCCATTTGGTCAAAGCTTGACTTCAGAACTTGAAAAGAATTGGCCAGGAAGGTTTTGCAGGCTGTTAGAACCAAAGAAAGACCTTATGAAAGAAATAGATGCCTGGGGAGTGTGGAGTCTTCCTTGCATAAAAGCAAGCACAGCTTGCCAAGTGAAAGTGCCAGTCACCTCCTGCCCCATGGATCAAGAGCCCAATAGATTTCCCAATTCCATACTGCAGAGCTGAAAGCTGGACTCCCACTGGATGCCAAATGTGCATAATAATTCTAGGATTTCCTTTTTTCCTGAATCCAACACAATTCTGCTGAAAGGCAGGAAGGTGTTTTATAAATCCCTATTTATCTGAGAATCAGTGGCTGGAGCTTTGCAGTTCCACACAGAGAACACATATACTGTTTTTAGGAGGAGATGCACATCTATTTAGGAATCTTTAAAGGCAAAAATGTCCAACTAAATAACACTTCTGTTTGAGGTGGTCTGTTTGACAAAGTGACAGAACACTGTCCATGAAAATATGGTGGTCATTGTTATTATCTCAAATATATCTGATGGGCTTGGGTTGTTGTTCCACACCCCTGTGTCTTTTATTCCATAAAGGACAGAGGCAGTGAAAATTCAGTGGCAAACAGCTGAATTGATTATATGACGTGCTTATCAAAAAATTGCACTAGTTGTGACCAACCCAGCACATTTAGGTTTTACATAAATCTCAGAAAATTCCAGTTCAGTGATGTATTTTTTATGGTTTGTTGGTTTGTTTTTTGGTTGTTTTTTTCCTGAACATAAAAATCTCAAGCAATCCTCCTTAAGTTCATCCATGTTTTTGAAAGGTACTAACCTGAATGTATGTGGCAGAGAGGTTGCTGTCCATGTAGAGTTTCCAGAAGGCTGGAATCGGACAAAGTGACCTGTACAGACTTGTGTTTTGCAGATTTCTCCTCCTCTTCTATCATAGTGTACGCTTATATTCCCTATTGGCCCCAGAGTTTCTACATCATATACCCACAGTGTCCAGCCTGGAAGCTGCTTTACTTCCCCAGACTGGTTCTCTTCAAGATGAAAGCCTGACATCTAAGAAGTGCCAAGGGAGGAAATATTATCTTCCAGCTTTCTCAGACAAGTGTTGGGGATTGAAGCAAGGTCTGTGAAAAGGTAAAGTCATCAGTGGGCAGACTGCTGTTCTAGATGAGGAACTTTGCTCTTATTTCTGGCTTTGAGAGTTAGTGATACTGCTTCTAATATATTGTGTCTCTCATCCAATGCTCCTGGAAACCACCAAAAAGGCTCCGATTGACTTCAGTCATAGTTTGATCAGGCCTTCAACCCACAAAGATGCCATTGTTTGGTTTTACTGCCATTGTGGTGCTTGGCATAGTGCTGCTCCTGCTCACACATAAATTCAGATACATACATCCACTAACTCCTCACAAGCAGTGCTTTATAGGGGCAAGATTTAATCCCTGATGACAGAAATAGGTTATATTTTCCTGGATGTCAGCAGACTTTGAGGCTGAATTTCTGGTGATCTATTGTGGCTGTTCTGGTAAATGCTTCACCTCTGTTCTCTTAGAAAATGTAAAATAAGTATTTGTCTGGATTCTCTTAAAGCCTTGAGTTTAAAATTGTAAAAGCTTTTTGCAACTGTAGAGACCTGTAAAACTTCAGTAGTTTGTCTTCCTGCTCTAAAGGCAATACATTTTAAAATATTTCTATTCCCTGATAGTAACAATTCTCAAAAGAAAAAAAAAAAAGATACAACTTAAATAGCTGGATTTTTGTGTGTGTGGTTTTGTTTTGTTTTTTTTCAGCTGTTTCAGAGGGAAAAAAAGGAAGTTCACTTGGTCCAAAAGACAAGTCATGACTTGGCAGCTGAGGAACAGGACATACCCTTGAGTGAAAAAGATCTTTGGGTGTTGAGTGACTGTGGCTTTGTGTGCTAATATCAGCTACATCAGCATGAGATAGATATGTCTACAAGGTGAAAACCCACAGGAGCATCAACACCTTCCTTGAGGAAGCTTTGAAGAGAAAATGAGTGCCAGGTAGCTATGTCTTGCCAAGAAGGTGTCATGCACTGAGTATAGCTTTGCACCATGCTACTTGACATCTTCCAGAGATCCTGTGTTAGCTGCAGGATGAAGAACAATCCTTTCCCCAAACTTCTTAGTCCACAACTGCACTAACACAGCCATACCCACTGCCAGGCTCCAAGGTAGCAGGTAATCATGGGGCTACACATACAAGCAAACCATCTCTTTCTTAGTGCCTTTGAGCTAGCACTGAGGTAGCTCAGCACTGCACAGCACAGGCATTATCTAAAATGGCCTTTAGAGTACTGAGGATCATGCTTTAGGATTTGTCTGCCTGTGATCCATATTATGTTTGTAAGCACTTGGGAAGGTCAGTGTTTAATGTAACTGTGCATGGAGAGTCCCAAGTTTCATGACCTCCAAGGCATCAGATGTGTTGTGTGTGACAGGGCAAAACTGAAATAACCCATGTCTTGAAAAACAACTATCTGAAAAATCTCTGCTGCTGCTTCCTTATCTATAGGCCTGTGGCTTACATCAAATTTTGTCATCCTGCTGAAGGAGAGTACACCTCTGTCTAGCATGTTTCTTCCCTTTTATCTCTTCCCTGCTCCTAAGGAGAGAGAGCATGAAATGAGCTACAAACTCTCCTGCCCCTAAATTGGTTACTGATTAACCATATGGATTAAGCAAAAATCCTTGAGAGTCAGGATTTCTTTATCTAGAAAATGAACATGTGAACAGTGAGTATAAACTGTGTTCATAAAATGATGCATTTTAATGATTCTCAGTCACTCATTCCTAGTGTCATGTCCATTACAACTGACCCATGTAAAAGGAGTCTCCTTTCCAAGGTGTCTCCATAGTCCTGTGCAGAAAATCTCAGTATCTCAGAAGCTGTTAGCTGTAACTGTGTCTCTGTTAATCAGTATCGTGATTGATTTTGGTTGGTTGGGTTTGGTTTTTTTTGCACAAGAACTGACCATAGCTCTGAGTGACTTAAAAGGGTACTTCTAAGGAAATAACTGATATAATATTTCAATAGCCAAACTGAATTTTATTTCTATATCTTTTATTTTAAAGCAAGCAAGCAAGCAGCACTGGGTGTGCTGTGAGTGGAGTAGAGCGGTGACTCCCTGGCCACACAGCACTGCTTGCTTGCTTTCTTTAAAATAAAAGATATGGAAATAAAATTTGGTTTGGCAACAAAATTTTATATCATAATTAATTAATCTAACTTTTTTTGCTTTTTCTGGCCCATACTACATTGCTTGCTCTAAATCATGGTGAAGCCTCCTCCAAGACAAGTTCATTAAAATCCCCTTAAAATTGTACTTGTGTTTAAAAGGGCTTTTGGTACAATTTAATGTCTAAGAGAGAGAGGAGGATGGAAGTGGAAATGTGCCACATGAGCATATATTCAGCTGGGAAGGTAACATTAATGATTAGGCTGTGCAGCCAGAACTGGTCTTAACAGCACATGCATACTTTAAGGATTTAGAGAACTGAACTACACATAAATACTTGCTTTTTCCCCTTCCTTGTTTTTCATACCAGAGAAACTTAAATCTTGTCTTTTGCCAGTATAATTCCAGTGTAACTACACAGAAATCACTGAAAGAAAATAAATGCAGACCACCACATCTGCATAATATTAAAGCCAGCTATTACACAATTTTCAATTTTCCACCTCTCTTAGAATGCAGGTATCAGTTCTATAAGGCTCCAAAAAGTCCTTATGTACTGTATTCCAGGTCAGCACTGCAGAGGGAAGCAGCAGCACCTCATTATGGAAAAGCAATGTGACCATCAAAGGATTAGTGCAAGCTCCTGCTCAGGTTTTGAGTTTTTCTCCCATTAGAGATTGATAACCTCATTATTAGCAAGCTGGGAG